ATTCAACCTCAATCTAGCAGTTCCCTTGTCTTCAGGATTGGGTTCAAAATTACAAGGCTACGGAGTTGAATATTAGTAGTCATAAACTCGAAATTGGGCAGGCTGTGCAATGACTGTTATAAAATAAACTAATAAATTTGGCCTGGATAGCATGGTTGATAGGGGGTAAACCCAAAATTGAGTCGGTTGTTCAACGGCGGTTATAAAAAAAATAAAACTAATAATCAAATTGTAATTTCTTGTTTCCTTTCTAACTCTACATATTTTCTACGCACATTCAAAATTTCATGTTTCTAAGTCTTATAGATTTTGTAACGTAAAGAAAAAAACAATTGAGAAAAAAATTCGCGAAAAAATCATTAAAAATTGCAAATAAAATATATTCAAAATGAATAAAAAAAAAAAAAACTCTGTTAAATATATAGTGGCCCCGCACGCCAAATTTTTACTCTGTGCTTAAAATGTGTTTCTTTTGTAACTTTTTCCCCTCGTTCAAAAGATATATGTGCAATAAAAGAAAGGTTCTACATAATAGTCTCATCACAATTAATATATTTACAATAAAGTAATATTATCAAGTTTTTTAATAATAACTATAATGTTAATACACAACAATAAAAAAATAGCGACAGTTTACTTTAGGTGTATAGAAATGGAATTATACTTATAAGGGCCCCATCATTTTCAGTAGCTTAGGGCCGCACCAAGCTTAAATCCGGCCCTGGCTGTCCTGACCAAACTACTGGAACCATATTTCCCAGATTGCGGCTACCCCCTATGTTTTGAAGGTTAAGAATCCAAATATGTAAAAATATATATATATATATACTTATTCAGAGAAAGTAGGTTTTTGGTGTCTGATTTCGTAGCTTAATTAATAGCTAGCACTAATTAATTATCATATTTGAGGTCACCCCCAGGAACCATTAAGATTGACACTTAGTTCGNTTTTTTTTTTTTTTTTTTTTTTTTTTTTTTTTTTTTTTTTTTTTTTTTTTTTTTTTTTTTTTGCGGACAGTACATTCGTAGTTTATTGGAGCTAGATTCCAATACAACTGAGGAGAGGAAATGACAGTCAAAACATGGAACCGATCTTCATCTAGATGGCGTACTCAAGCATTGCAATAATAAATTGAAACATACTCATTTGTTCAATCAATCAATCGGGTAGAAAAGGATAGTTATAAGCTGCTTAAAGCAACTTACCAATCTGAAGTTTGTTTACTTTTTTTTGACTGAGCGGGTGATTTCGACTTAGAATTTTGACTTATTTTCTTGTAAGAGTATTTCTTCCACAGATTTTTTATTTATTTTCTTGTTGAAAAAAAGTAAAGTATTTTGTTAGCTGGGGACTTTTTTTTATTAACACCAATGTAATTTTACTCTTAAGATTTGTTAAAATGTATCTATTTCTAATTTAGTTACATCAAAACTTTGTTTTCATTACTCATGCATTTACTTTTATTTTTCTGTCCTATTAGATTTTTATTTTCTTCTATTTTAAACCACATGCAGATTGTTTAATATTTTGCTGATTTTTACTTGTTCTTATTTATTATTTTTTTTTTAAGGAAATAGCTCGTTATTATTTTTTACAGGAGTAACAGTAGGAATTTTATTTCTTATGAATGATTACCTATTAGTACTTTTTCATATTTACACTCGTAACAACTTGTCATTAAAAGGGATTAATTTTTCACTCCCCGTAGTACATATCAGCAAATAAAATTTTTACTAATGTTTTAATTTTATCTTGAAAATATAAGTCTTTGGTTCACAACTCTGTATCTTTTTATGAAAGAATCTAATTTTTATATTCATGTAAAGAACTGTTAAAACAACATAATATTTTATTACGAAGGCCAGATAGTAATATCGTTTTGGCTCATTAAATATTCGTTAGTCTTGTAAACCAATTCATATTTTTCGATTCATTTTCGATCTGGCATTGAAAGGTTGTTGCTAACGAGATTGACTACAGTATTGATTAAAAATAAAATTTTGATATCAAATGCTCCAAAACGAAATTACTTTTCGGTCCCCCTAATATAATTGTAATTGAATTAATGAATCTCATTAATCATTCGCAAAAGCATAAATTGTTCAAAATTGCCACAAGAATCACAGAGCAATCTAAATTATGTAGATCAATTAGTATCCACAGTTCTGCACTATAGTTTATACCAAAGTTGCAATGAGAATTTAGTATGTTCTTAATTTTTTGTTCTCATATGTAAGCATTTATACATAAATTGATATTAAACTAATTAAGATTCCCTTTTTTGTAATTTTATATTTTGGAAAATAAAATTTGCCTCTTAAAAAATTTTAATAATCCAAATAGTAAAATGGATATTTTTGACAATAACCACAACATTTGTTATTGTACTTATCAAAATCCTTTTTTCAAAATATTAGATGTAATTCTGCTCCTCAGCTAATCACATATTGTATTCACTAGATATAGAATTTATTTTTCATAAATAAATTTTGTTAAGTATGAATTATACTCTTTTGTTAAGTATGAATTATATTCAAAAGATTTCCTAGATAATTTGCTAAAAGTATTTCTGAATTGTCAGTTTTAATAGATTAGACAAATTTTAAATAATAAAATAAATACAAGGATATAATTTTTAATTAAGAGTTTTTATTCACTTAATTCTGAATTTTCTTATGTAAGTTACTGAACAACTGTACTTACACAATTTTAAAAAAAGTTGGTAAATAGTTTTAAAGCTATTATTCTGAAATGAAAAGTTTTGGAAATGACCATTTTAAATAGCATTCTTGAAATTTTTACTTTGGAAAAATTTTCATTAGGTTTTGTAAATTGAACTGGTAGGGAATGATTTTTGCAAAATAATATTTTAGGGAAGAAAAATATTTGTAATAATAATAATTTTAAATTAATCTGTAAACATAAATATCTTGTGTTTAGTCATTAAGTAGCTACATAAGTAACTACTTAATATAATAATTTATTTTATATTGAAATATGACGATTTAAAAAAAATTACAAATATTGTTTAAGATGATCCAAATCACAGAATTTAGCTCCAATAACAGTGTATGTCAAAAATGTGAGATTTTAGTTGTCCCCTTTGTTGCAAGCACTTTTAATTAACTTGCTATTAAATTATGCAGCTTTTTTTTATTATATTTATACCAATATATTAAACAGTGCATCTTAGAGTAACATATTCTTGCACAATTTTTTATTTTCAGATATATATAATATATTTTTAGAATAAAATACGTGTGTGATTTTCCTGTTATGCTTAGAAATATAGAAACTTGAAACTCTTGTGTTCCATTTTATATTTTTGGAGTGAAATTTGAAAGTTTTTGTAATACTTATTAAATTATTATATTAGTCATTTTTATTTTCTTCCATCCAATGACTAAGGAGGTATCCCTACCCTGCTAATAATATAGATGCTGTGGTCGTAGATTATTTTAAAAGCAAGGGGTCTGTTTAGAAGAAATTTGGGCCCGTTAACGGACCCTTCACAAAATATCTTTTCATAAAAACGGACCCTTTACAAAATAATTTATCTTTTAGTCAAACCCTTCACAAATTTGTTTATCTTCATTATTGTTTTGTTAATTGAATAAATCCTTCCCAGGAAGGAGGGGGGAAGAAAGGTAGGTGTAAACGAACTAAGTTTTGTCTTCCACAGAGGCTTCTATTATTCGTCCGAAATGAATATTCTGCATTCAGCAGTGTAGGCTAAATACCAAATATTTGTATGTTACATGGCTAATGTAATAGTTGCTGCAATTGCTGTTTATTTTTGAAGATTTCACTTTTTTTATTATAATTTTAAATTGTTGTGCGTAATTTTGTATCTATTTACAGTTTAAAAACTCCTTAAAAAAGTTTTTTGCAATAACAGGACCCTATTTGCACAAATTCATAAAAGTCGGACCCTGGTTGAAAGAATGTGACTTAACGTTTATTTTATATTCACAAATTACAAGTAATTTTTTCACGATTTTACAAAAACGAACCTTTCACAAAATGTCTGGACAGACCCCTGAAAGCTCTCAAAAGGGATGTGGGCCACAAATGCTATATTAATGTAGTTCACTATACACTAGACAAAAATAAGCGAAGACCTATATTGTGGTGTTGTTGCTGTTGGATTTAGAAAGGGAGAAGATAGAGATGGGAGCTTTGTTTCCTGATGCATTATTTCTTCGTCACTTTTATGCAACCAGTAGCAAACATAGAGAATTTAGTCAAATGGCTCAGTTATTCTGTTTACTCAGGTATCAGGTTTGTTGACACAAATTACGAAGAAATAACTAAGTTCACTGAAAATCTAGTTTTTAATTTACTACCAATTATTTGGAAGAATTTTGTTCAATTATAATTTTTCTTTCTTGCTGTTTTTAATTTGTCATTCATTAATAATTCTTTTATGTTATAAAAATATTAAAAAATACATTTTCTTTCCAGATACCAACATTAATCACAATGAGTGATGCCAGTGAGTTCATTAAATACTTTGAAGAACTTCCTAAGGTAAAGAAAAAAAAATTATAATGATAGTTATGTAGTTAACCATGAAAATATTGAAGCAATATGTTTATTGTGTTTTCAAGTCAATTATGTAAATTAAGCAAAATTTATTTTTTTACCCTTTATAAGGCTGTGAGAAACTTACTTTTCATCAACTTTGTAAATTTTTAATGGATGGAAAGCTATTTTCTCACCTATAATTTGTACAACTATCTGCTGATAACTTCAGAAAATAAAATAAATACTAATGCAGGTTTTTATTAACATGTATGTAGGTAACAGTTAGGGTTAGTATGAGGTCAAGAAGAGAAGCTATCAATTGGGAGTCTTTGCTTTATCTTGTACTTTATGAATTTGGTCATGACTCACATGAGTTCATTTACAATTATAAATTAAGAATTAATATATTCAGTTATTTATATGCACAAAATTTTTTATTTATTACTGTTTTTTTTTTTTTTACTTTTTGTAAAATTTTGACTTGAAAATCGAACCCACCTTCCCACCAAAATAATATATCTACGCATATATATTAAAAAACAAATTAATTAAAATTAATAAGCTAAATAGTTTTTTTTTATATATATAAATAAATTTCAGAAATAACATAACACACAGTATTAACAATGGAATTTTCTGTTGCTAAGTATTTTGTTTTTAAATTAATATCTAAAGTAAAAGACCTATTAAATTATGAAGAAAGTATAAAATGCCTTAAACTTAATTGGCTCACTCATGTTTTTCATCAAAATTCCTAATTTGATTGAAAACTTTTGATTTGATCTAAGAATATATGTTGTGATTCACACAAATAAACTATAAGAAAGAAGATGTATCTGAGTGTAAATTTGCTCAATCTTGCTTATCTGATGTGCTAAAAAACTGAAATAAACCTAAAAAAAAGTTTGCTGAGAATCTGTAAAATAACAAAAAAAGGAATTTTATTTAAGAATTTATTTATTTAATCCTTTCGCGCCTAACGGGACACATACGTCCCAAGCAAATTTCAAAAAAATATTTTGGGACTGAAACGCTTTTCTGTCTAATGGGAGACTTTCCCACCAGTCCTGCCAATATTTTTGAAGGTATTTCCATTCACAGAATATAGATGACACTACTGTATATAATGCTGCTCTATTCATAGTTTATGCTACCAAAATAGTTCTGTTGTTTAAAAAAAAAAAAAAAAAAAAAACTCGTCGCTAAAGGGTTAAGTATTTTTTCTTTTTAAAGTCTTAATTTTCATGTTTGTTTTTTTTTTTTTTCCTATAAGCTATAAATTGCATTATTGTTTACATTTTTTTCTTAGAAAATTGTTATTAAATTAGTAATTAATTAAATTTACATATATATATTTTCATTTTTTCTAAAGCAATGTGTATTTTTCAGGTTGGAAGCTTGTGTCGCATTTTTGAAAGAAGCGTAAGTAATTCATTGCTCCACAGAAATTATGTTAATTCCTTAAAAGAAATCATTTATGAATCACCTATGAAAGAAAAGTTAAGTTTTAAAAGTGATAGGCATGAATAATATTTCTTTTGAGACAGTTTTCTAATTAATTGCATTTTATTGTCCCTTGGAAAGCTTTGCTTTAAAAAGCTTTTTTAAAATAAATTCAACTCTACTGATTATTAAACTCATTTCTTGATGACTTAATTATTGTAATTACGTAATGAAAATTGTATATTTCCATATGGAAGTTCGTGATTACGTAATTGAGATTTTCTAAAAATGTACTAGTAAGTGTTCTAATTTTCTCTTATGAAATAGTTTAAGAATATTTTATTTATTAATGTAAACTTCAGAAGAAAATATTGTTATTTTTTCATGCCATCACTGTTAGGAATGACACTTTTTTGAAAGACTGATTCTAATGTTTTTTATGACTAGTTAAAAAATAAATAAATTGTGTAACTTTATATTTTTCAAAGCAGTGAAGGAATAACATATACTTAAACATGTCAATATTCATTAAATTATTATTATTCCCACATCATGTTACAGGGTGCATAGCGTTTTTAAAAAGTGCCCAAAGGTGCTTATTTTCAATTTTCGTTTTTTAAAAACCCTTAAAGGTGCTTTTTCCATTGGGTGTTTTTAAAAAGTGCTTAATTTTTGCTTTTCCAAAATGAGATTCTTCCTTCACCGTGTTGATTTTTGCTACAAATTATGCAAAAAGACACAGTTCACATTGTTCTACTCAACATTTTCACAATTAATTCAACCCCAATCTATTTCGGCATATCGTCAGTCCGTAGCGTA